CTGCAGTAGTTCAAGTCACCAAAAAAAAAAAAACCCCCAGGAAGAGAAGGGGAGAAGCAAGGCCACCGCGGCCTCGCCAGGTGTGCTCCCAATTCCTGAGATGTCCCTGAGCACTCCCGAGCCTGGCCACCAGTGGTCTCTGCCCAGCCCGGCAGGAGAAGAAGGGCCATCTGCGCCCAGATTACAGGACCTCCGGCCCGGCCGGCCCCGGGGCCCACAGCCCCCAGACTCTCGGGCACAGGGACACTTTGTGCAAGCCCTTCCAGAACCTTCCAAGAGCAGCGGCTTCCCAGACCTGGGAGGAGGGCGTCCAGCTGGGCGGGAGGGCGAGCTGGTCATTTCCCAAGCAAGATGGGGAGTGAGCCTGCGGTCCCCGGCTGGTCCCTGGCGCACAGGGAGGAACGGGCAGAGGGGAGGGGGCCGGCACCGGGCCCCAGCTGCAGGAGGCGGAGGTGACAGTGAAGTGATTTCCTCTATTCCAGGCCTCGGGTCCCCAGGGCCAGGTGGCTGGTCTGGGCTGCTCTGGTGCAAGGGCGCGTGGCTGGGGACCCGAGCTGGGCCGGGCGTGCGCTGGAGCGGGGCGACGGGGGCAGTCAGGAGTTCCGGGGCGTGGGTAGGTCGATGACGATGGGCGGGTTCACAGGCTGGTAGTTCACAGTGCACACGGACGCGTTCACGTAGGTGGTCGTCCCATCCGCCATGACACCGTACCCTGGAGGGGGAGCACAGCCATCAGGCCCGTCCCCAGGTGCCCCCAGCACCAGGCCACCGTCGCACGGTCCCTTCCCTACCAGCACTACCACGTCCTCACCACCATCGTCATGGCCTTTGCCACTGTCCCCATCAACACCACCATCTTTACATCAAGGTCCTCGCCGTCCCCACCTCTGCGTCACCACCGTGGCCACCCTCACTTCCCGGTGTCACGACACCCTCTGGGCCATCTCCTCTCCCCCACCTCGGCCTGAAGCGCCCCTCATCTGAGCTCAGATGACCACCAGGCCACAGGGACGCCGGCCTCCTCGTCAGGCCGCCTGCTCCTGGGACCCCCCTTGGGCCCGCGGTTGTGCGGAGTGCGCTTGGGGTCCCAGGCAACCCGCGGTCTGGCGGCCCTGCAGTCTGGTCACCCCACTGCACAGGAGCCCCCCTTCCCGGGGTTCTGGGACTCTGCCTCGGGCGGGCGGCTGTCCCCTAAGTGCGCCTTAAGGCCAGGTGTGGTGGGACCCCTCCTCCTGAGGAGTCCCCAGAGACCCTCGGCTCAGCTGAGGCCGTTTGCTCTGAGCTGGAAAACGACCTGACGTGTCCGGTCCAGCAGGTCCCCTGCTGGGAAGTGCCTCTGGGGAAGCCACATCACCCCACCACACAGCAGCCACCGTGGTTCCTGCAGGGGGGCCGGGAGCCTGGCCCAGGCAGGACAGGTGTCCGAAGAGCCGAGGGGGGGCTGAACTCAGGAGGACGCCCGAGGGCTGAGGACAGCGGACGAGTCTGGTCCGGGAAGCCTTTGGGTGGCCAGGACTGGAGGTGAAGTCACCCTCCCGCTCCCCACAGTGTGAAGTGGACGTCCCCACAACCCCAGGAATGTGGCTCCAGCGTCCCAGGACAGGGGCCAGAATGCCACGTCCCTGGCGGCGTTGGGAATCCGGGGCCGTCCCCGCCCCAGAGCCCCTCAGGCAGGCAGCCTGTCCTCGGTCCACATTCATCAAGCACCGACTACGCGCCAGGCCCTGGGGATGGAGTGACAAGACAGGGCCACCACCTATAGGACGTCATAGCCCAGACGTCCCCGTCTCGGGAAAGCCCCAGCCTTCTCCCAAAGGCTTCCCGGACCAGTCTTGGGGCTCAGAGGACGGCACCCCGAGTCCTGGCAGAGCTCGCCCTCAGCCCCCCACTGTCAACATCACAGGGGTAGCCAGTGGCAGCCAAGGTGTGGACAAGGTTGACCCGGGCACAGTGGCCACTGGCTCCTGCCCTTCAGGCTGAAGAAGTCAGGGAAGGTGGGTGCCCGGGCTGAAGGGGGGAGGCAGCCCCCTGCAGGACCGGTGGGGCCCCGCCCACTCACCTTCATGGATGTGGCCGAAGACGTGCAGCCGCGGCTGGACGCGCCTCTGCACGGTGTTGAGCAGCTCCACGCAGCCCACCCGCTGCATCTTCTTGGGGACCCAGTCCAGGAAGCCTGCGCAGGGAGACACGGCCGTGACGGCTCTGGGAGACGTGGCCTGGACTCCGGCCTGGGGGCCCCCCACCCGCTTCAGCCCAGGGACAGGGACCGCCACACGCTGCCCCGCAAGGCCACGGCCATCCTCCCAGCAGTAGCCTCCTCGCGGGCACCTGGGCGCGGTGCTCAGCCAAGGCCAGTACCCCAGAGCCTCCCTGCTCAAGTGGCCTCAGGGAGGCGTCTGCCCAGGGCAGAGGGCGGCAGGCGGGGCCTCCGCAGCGCCAGGGCGTGAGGCTCCCACTGCAGAAACTTCCCGAGCAAAACAGCACAGAACCGTGACCATGAACTTGCTCAGCCACCGCAGCAGCAGCTCACGTGGCCGCGCCCGTGTCTGCTGGCTGCCAGCCTCCCGGAGCCGCCCAGATGGCGGCTGCTTATTATCCTCACACGGCTACACAAACCAAGAATAATTGATTACTCCAAGCGACAATCGGGTTCCTCTCGCCCCTCTGTTTGGGTGGGCAAATGGCCCCTTCTGCAACTGCCAGCCAGGGACGGGGCGCTTCCTCCTGGAGTCAGGCGCTGACTTAGAGATGAAGCAGGCAGAGACCCAGGAGGAGGATGGGAAGGCGGAGAAGAGTCAGGAAATGGGTGGAAAGTAGACCCTGGGGTGACCACCAGGCTCTGCAGCCTACTGGCTGTGTGGTCTTGGACAAGCAAATTAACCTCTCTGTGCCTCTGTTTCATGCAAAAATTGTAAGTGCTGTGCTGGGCACCGGGATCCCACCTGCCTGCAGCGGGGCCCATCTCACCCCCCTCCCCCGTGTGTGACAGGAGGGGTCTCCAGCTCCCCGGGCCCCTGGCATTTACAGCCGGGACGGGGTGGGGTATTTCTCCTGGGAGGCCTGGCACACAGCTTCTGGCATGTGGTGGGGGTGGGTCGCCCAGAGGGCAGGAGGGCAAGAGAGCCTGGAGGGGGAAAGGAAGGGGCAGGAAGGGGGAGGGGAGGGAGGGACGGAGGGAGGGTCCAAGGCCCTTGACAGAGAGCCTCCGTGACAGAGGACGCTGGATGTGGAAAGAACTGGCCCCGGGGTCGGGACCCTGGTCACAAGCCCTCAAGCTCCTGCCCCCCCAGTCCTGGGCCTCTCCTTCCTTAGAAGGTGGGCTCACCGTCTACGGGAGGGTGGCGCCCGGGTGCTGGCGGGCAGTGGCAGCAGGTGTGGGTGGGCACTCAGGCTGTGCTGGCCTTCCACCCAGGACGTCCTCCCCGCCAGTCCACCTCCCTCCCCAGACCAGACCCAGCTCTGGCTTCCTCCTCCGGAGCCTCTACCCACAGCCCAGGAGCCCCGCCTGCCCTGGCAGCCCTGTGAGATGTAGCACGCCCCCGCACAGAGGCCGCCCGGGGCATGGGCGTGATGGCAGGTTCACAGAGCGACTGTGGGAGCAGGAGGCTGGTCTGAACCAGCGTGTTGGGAGTTTGAACTCCGTTCTAAGGACTGAGGAGGCACAGAAGGTCACGGAGGGATGATGATCCCAAGGGCTCTCCCCACTGACAGGAGGGGAGTACACGAGAGGGCCAAGGGTCAGGCCCGGGGCCAGTGAGGCATGGTGGGCACGGAGAGGGAGGGAGGGGAGGGCCAGGGTGGTGGGGGGTCGTGAGTGGAAGGGGCGACACAGATGGACAGGATGTGGGTCCCAGATGGGAAGCCGGGGGCCCAGGAAGTGGTTAGCAGGTGAGAGGCAGCCTCAGCTGGACAAGGTGGTGGCCAGGGCGGAGAGGAGAGT